CAGACACGTACCTGATGTAGGCCGCATACCATACTGTAGCCGAAATTCTAACGGATAGATTACGTTAGGTTAGGTATTATTAAGTATTTTTAAACACAATCCATTTCCACTCTAGGCCGCATACTATACTGTCCCCCGGAAAGGCATTTATTTGTTTGTTTTTTCGTAAGAAATAAACTTAAAAACTAAGGTCTATTAGCAACACATTGTTGTCTAGGCGCATAGCGTCCCAAATATGGGACGCTTAAGAAAACATGACTATAGAAACTGTTGAAGTTGCTGAAACTACTAAACCAAAGTACAAAAGTAATCAACAACTTGTTTAGAATGTAAAAGCATAGTTTATAACTATTTTATTACCGCACATAAAACACAATAAAATGTACTTACCCCTCATGCGTAACACGAAAATTAGAGCTTGACATTTTCACATGTGCAGAAGTGAGGTTATGTTAGCAGTGAAGAACAATGTGCTGTCTCCCACCACTAGCACCTACAGGAACAAGTGATGCCAACGTATACCACACCAAACATAAAATATCCCTCCTAGACTTTTTTTTTTCAGCGTCCTTTTTATGGGACGTTATGCACTAATGGGTTAATGTTTAGTCCATTCCCTTGAAAATGTAAAAAATTTCTACAGTGTTAGAAACATGAAAACACTTAAAAATAATTTATAAATAAAAAACCTTTTTAGTTTTTAATGTGTGTGGATGTTAAATCTATTTCAAGCATCTATATCAGATTAAGACAGAGGCATGTGGGAAATCTAAGGTTTATTTGAGTTTCTTTTCATTACTTATGTATTAGATTGAATGTATGGCCTACATACTAACTATAAATATATCAATGTATTTACTTTATTGTTTACTTAATAGAATAGTAAATAAATAACAATTGACATTATTAACAAACACCTTTATATCTTCAATCAGATTGTTTATCTTTATTTTAAAATGTTTGTTTGTATAAAAAATCTCATGGGAGCTTAACCTGTCCCTCTTAACCTCTGCTCTTCGAACTGTCAAGTTTAAGTATTGACAGCTGACTTAAATCAATTGATATATTTACATTCTTTCAAAATGTAAACATGGAAAATTTGGAAGCCCATGGGGCGTAGCCCAAGGGAAATATGAAAATTAAATGATATAATATTGCATTGTCATCCATTTGTGAGCTATGGTTCAAGTTTCAAGTCTATAGCTCATCGGGAAGTATGAAAATTTGCAAGAAAGCGAACTAATAAAAACAAGCCCATGGGGCGTAGCCCAAGGGAAATATGAAAATTAAATGATCTAATATTGCATTGTCTTCCATTTGTGAGCTATGTTTCAAGTTTCAAGTCTCTAGCTCATCGGGAAGTGGGTATAAAATTGATTGCAAAATTTGTACCGGACAAGAAAGCGAGCTAATAAAAACGTTTTAAAATACTGAAAAAGCTTGCGAGTAGAAAATATATATATTTTTTAAACAACGAACTTTCAATGCAAAGTTTGTATGTACTCATTCCGAATTCTTGGGAGACCATCTTTTTTGAAACATTGGGAAGACAATATAAAAACTTATTTTATCGGAACGGGTGTTTTATGTGTGTAAATTTGTTTTGAACTTCTATATTCACCACTGGCAAAGACAGTTTATAAACAAGTTTAGATTTCTGATCATATTGAACTTGCAATAGAATAATTTTGTTTCGAACAAATGCTACGACTTTGTAAGAGGGAAAACTTATACTTATCATCTGAGAAACAAGATAGATTTTTCTTTCCACGTTCTTTTCGAATGAACACTACTACTTATAACTAAAATATACAGGGTTATTCAAAATGAATGACCCAGTTATAACGGTTTATAACTTTAAAACTATTAAACTTACCGCTATAAAACACACATCAAACGAAAAAGCAACTCAGAGTTTACGCCTTCCAAAGACACATCATTTAACAAAATCGATCCAACAGAACTGTAGATTTAATTGTACAAAGTTAAAAAGTTATCTCCAACTTTTTTTACCACTAGAAATTTGGAGGTTACTTGACGTTTTTGCAAATAACTTTTAAATGGTGAGGAAATCGACCAAGTGGAAGGTATTATTCCGAAAGAGAATACAATTTCCTACAATCTACCATTGTGCATTTTTTGAAAATACTCAAGAAAAATCCCAACCAAAAATTGCCTCAAAATGAAAAAAAAAAAAAAAAATTAAAATCCCCCTCTTCAATGTAGACAATAAACATAGCAAACATTAAATTTCACACTTTTTATTTTAAGCCAAATTTAGGCTACATTTATTGAGTATTTTCAAGATATGCGTAATATTAGATTGTAGGAAATTGTATTCTCTTTCGGAATATTACCTTCCACTTTGGTCGATTTCCTCACCATTTAAAAGTTATTTGCAAAAACGTCAAGTAACCTCCAAATTTCTAGTGGTAAAAAAAATGGTGATTACTTTTTAACTTTGTACAATTAAATCTACAGTTCTGTTGGATCGATTTTGTTAAATGATGTGTCTTTCGAAGACATAAACTCTTTGAGTTGCTTTTTCGTTTGATGTGTATTTTATAGCGGTAAGTTTAATAGTATAAAAATTATAAAGCATTAAAAATGGGTCCATCATTTAGAATAACCCTGTATTTTAGGCAAGCCTTTATATAAATGTGTGACTTTATATTTTGTTGTGTTGATGTACACCACTGCAAATTATTATACTTTTGGTGACGATACAGTTTAATTAAAAAAAAACTATCTCTTTGTTTGGTATTTTGTTGTCTTAATTGAATGAATGATAAATCGTAACGGAAACAGAGACCATTTTCCAAAATGCATATGTGACTTGTCTATATTCAAATGTATTTATACGTTTACTCTACTGTACACTTAGTAATGCTATCCTCCAGTAAACAAAATTGTTTTATCAACCACAACTAGTTGAAACTCCGTACATTTCTTAGTTTGACGTTCTGTTCACGGTTTGTCACTTAATCCTTGTTTCATTCCTCATTTATTTCGATTTGCCCTTAATTCCTTCCAACCTTTTGAGCATTTCGCCTACACTGATAACCTGTATTCAAATTTCAAAAATACAACCAGTTTTTCAAGTCGAATGCCTGTAGTAATGCTTATAGTACAAGGTAATGCTAAAGTTGGTAAATAAATAAACACAGTACAGCATATATATATGTACAATAAATAATAAACAAATAACTAAATAACAAACTTGGTCCTATAAATTGAACTATCAATTAAACCTAATGTACTTTAAATAGACGAGATTTTTGTACTGACCCATTAATTGAGTTTTTATTATACATGCCAACGGCAGAGCCATTTAAAAATAAGTAACAAACAGTTTCCAACTTATAGCAGAAAATCAATGTGACAATCGATGAACAATAGAAAAATCAACAATAAATAACAATAAAAATAAATAACAATATAGATACATAACAATACCCATAACAATAAATATGTAAATGAATATAATGAATCACAAAAAGTTAAAAATAGCGTAAGGCTGAATACTAAAAAAAATGGATGATGGTGAGACAATGCATCGACAAAAGTTCGATTAAGGAATTGCATTTCGTTGCTCGCCAAGGACAGTGAGGAACTTTCTTCGAGCTAGTTTGAAGCCGTCGAAGAAGAAATCCACTGCGCCTGACACCGTGTTTCCCAGGCGAACACTAGTTCTGCATAAAGATCAAAACATATCTTTAGTAACATGAATAAACACATCATAGTACAGGGTGTTGTTAAAAGAATGCCGGGATTTTAAATGGTAATTGCTTGGATACTATTCAAGGTAACTAAACGTTTTATACGTCAAATTGAAGCTAAAATAACTAAGTTTTGTTTCCCGTGCAGCAAGGGAGGAAACTTTGACCTTGGTACTTGTAAAACAGTTTCGGCGTGATAGGCCGCTATTGTGACTCATATGCCTGACGCCAGTCGCCAGTACGACGTTTGCGGCGCAACAGTAGGCACAGATTGTAATCTGTAGTTCTCAGAGGTTATATCCATTGCAAAATTTAATAAATTTAAATATACTTGATGATAAAGAAACATGAAGCTGGTTTAATGAGTTTTGTGGCACCGAAGTGTTTTGAAAAGACATTCACCCGGCCGGCTAAAAACAAACGATGACATAGTCGAAGAAATCCGACATTTCTGCATCATAAGCCCGAACAATCGATTGCCCGACGAAGTCTTCAGTTTAAAAAACCTAAATTGGTCACTTTATGTTGTTATCTATAAAAGATAGAGTCTTTGTATCGAAAAAAAAATCAGTTAAGACATCAGATAAACATTCCAATCGCCCTAAGCGTACAGACTTTGCCAGTTTTACGCTCATTTAAGATTGATGCAATCTGAATGTTATTATATCATTCCGAATTGTATGAACGAATGAGAAAAAAACTTTATCCTTTTCCCTTCAATTTGACGTTTAAATCGTTTAATTATCTTGAATAGCCCCTGAGCAATGACCGTTTGAAATCCCGGCATTCTTTTAAAAACACCCTGTATAACACCCTGTATGATAAGATCCATTAGCAAAGGGTTCACCTTAGATGGCCATAAAGGGAGATATTTCAGTTCCACAATAGAGCCAACTTTAAGATGATACTATTCAAATCAAGGAAGACAACATTGGGAAACCTCGTCCAATGCAACTGAAATAACCATGATTGTTCCATTTTTCAGTACAATTTATTAATAGGTTACGTTGCGTTTGTCCAGGCAAGTGCGTGGATCGTAGCCAGCATAGTATGGGGTAAGCCGGTAAAGTGGGATGAACTTTACTGATAAAATTTGTGACAGAACCCGAACCCACGACATCGCTACCATGGGAACGGCGTTGGTGGTGATACTAACTTAGCCATCTACTCACCAATATTTAAACATTTTATAAAAATATAATTTTAGCGAAGACATCACAACATAGTTAGTTGTGATTCATTTCAATTAAGCTTTTACTCATTGTTACTATGTTTATGCAGGATTTCAAGATGGAGGAGCCAAGTCCAGGAGGATCCCAGGGTTGTTTCCTCGACCTTTCGTTGGCAGAAGCAATCCTTCCGCGACATGGCTGGTTGACCTATCAGGTAGATAAACGTGACTTAATGCTACGGCATGACAAATAATACTTTCCCATTAATAAAGAGTAAGACACTGCATTAAAACCTTTCATAATATTTACTGTTACTTGAAAAGTTGCAGGTGTACCTCATTCTTTACTTTTGCCTTTTTAGGGGGTTTTCTCTAGGGATACGTGGGATACCTATCATAGGGGTTTAGCGAGATATGAAAATAAATTAAAAACATTTATTGCTGTAATTTGTAGGTACTATAAAGAAACTTTGGGGTTAAAACTTGAATAGCACAAAACCTAATATTAGTACATCAGTAAACCTTTCTAATATTGGAAATCTTTACGTTTATCGCGACAGAGGATGATCTCTAGTAATTGAGGGGAACCTCGCCCTCAGCGCAGCGCTTAAGTCGGGTGATTTGTTTTTCATTTGTTTAAGCTTTAGATTTGTTTAAATTTATACCTCAATCTTCTACGAACGGAGTAAAGCAATAATTAAAATGTCACGGAGACTGTTACACGATGCAAATGATTAGCGTAAAAATGGTTTTGCTCTCCTTAACACACTTTTGATGATTTAGGCCTACGAATGTCGATGCAAACCCAAAGGTCGTTATACCTATCCTTAAACTATTTTCTCACAGTCTCCTCTTCTATTCTCTTTTTCCAATTTGTTTGGCAACTTGAATCTTTTTTTATTTTTTTATTCCTTATAAAAATAACACACTTTTGATGATTTAGGCCTGCGAATGTCAATGCAAACCCAAAGGTCGCTATACCTATCCTTAAACTATTTTCTCACAGTCTCCTCTTCTATTCTCTTTTTCCAATTCGTTTGGCAACCTGAATCTTATTTTCTTTTTTTATTCCTTATAAAAAAAAATATTAATTTATTCTTTGTCGAAATTAAGCTCATAAGATATAGCTGTAATCTGCATAAAATCATAACATGTTTTAAATTATACATATACTGCAAATATTTTTAATACCATTCATTTTTAAAAGGCTTAAGAGTTTTTATTCATATTTTGCACAAAATTAGTGGTCATTATGATAAACATTTTCACAGAATTTCAACAATGTAGCTCAAGCAGTGAAGGAGTTGTGAATGTTTTTGTATAAATCACGTACAGATTGTAAACGAAATTAGGTAGGACACATGTTATGTTACATTTTTTGTTTCTTTTGGCATGCTGAATAACGTGACAAAGTTGTTCATATGGTCGCAAGGTATCCTATATTTCAGTTGCACTGGCTTACTGATTTTTAGGTTTTTATCACTATATGTTTTACTCGCTGTTTCAGACTTGGGTGAAAATGATGGGAAGCCCAAAAGAGGGGAGATTTCCGGCCTGTTCGCCTACCCGAGGGTGGGGCGCAGTGGGCCGGACTCTCTAATACAAACAGGTAACTAACCACCGACTCTTGCGATTTCTGTAGTTTTTGTTGTAGAGATACAATAATTAGACACGAGAATCAAGGCAATACTCTAATTTATATCTCAACTTAAAGCACATCATCTGCGTAGCTAAATGGTTATAGTGCTCTCCTTACAATCAGGTTACCAGTTCAATGCTGTGTCGAGTCATAAACTTTTAATGGCTCGTTGGCTGGACTTATCTGTCCTTGATAATCTGGATTTTGGTAAAAATGGTCCTGGCTAACGAAACAGCTGGTTGTTTCATGAGGTTTGCAGGCTTGTACTTGTTGGAGAATCACATGGTAATCCGGCTAATGATTGAGGATTATACTTGTCTCAAGATAATAAAGAAAAAAATTGATTTAGTGAAGTGAAGAACAATAAGATAAATTGCTTAAGTAATAAATAAATAATAATAAATGAATAAATTGATAAGTTTCTGTGTACATACTCCGTCACTTAAAGGGTATCGGTATATACAAACACTAAAGGCTTTGGTCGGAAGAGCCGTCGGCCAGGTTGGCATCACATTGTACATAAAACAAGGAACATTCATCCCTAAAATTATTATAAATTTTGTAAATAATCTTTAAATAACTTATTTTTTATTTTATTTTTTAAATACAAACAAAAACTGGTTATCTCAAATAATACAACTTAGTTTATAAGGTTAAAAAAAAAAATTAAATTTTCCACCTTGTTACAAATACATCATAGCAGATGTAAGCAGTTTTAGTTGCAATACTATTGCGTCCCATGGTCCCATTCCACTCGTTTTTCTAGATTTCTATCACGCTGTTTTAAGATGAAAAATATCGAACCCCTGTTTAATATGCTTTAAATCTAAAGATGGACTTCTTTAGATGCAAATATTTAAATAATACATTATTGAATATTGCGTAACTGGTGTGTGCGATACAGTCGTGATTTAACAATATGAAACAATCAAACAGGATCAACAAAGTTATCTTTGTTGGAAAAACATATCAGTCCTGTGTAGTTTCAAGCTCACAAAGGATGTCCGTGATTAAATAACTTGGGAAAACGTTATTAGTGGAACCAGATCGCAGCTCATGCTGTGGCAATATACGTGTTCTCCGTCATGAATAGAGCCCCTTCCTTCGAATTTTCATTGATGTAGCTATCCTAAAACTTAGAGAATAATGTATCACTTCAGTAATATAATAGTTCTTTTAATAACTTTTTGTTTTGTTGCCATTACAGACCAAAATAAACTATTTGACAAACACAAGTGTGAATATAAAAACAATCTATACTAATATACAGGGTGTTTTTTTTTTAACTTGCATCTTTATTTATGTAAAAACCGCAATAGATAGAAATATGCAGTTTGCGGGAATCATCTATTGACGTAGGGGGCCCAATTTTTTTGAATTCAACGTTACATTCACATACCCCCCCTTTCCCCCCTGCCCCCAACTTATTTTTTTAAATAGCAAGGTACCCCTTGTGACATATCAAATGAAAGAGCATGAAAAAAGAAAATGTTTGATGAAAAAAAATTAAAAATCGGTTCATAAATTTGCGAGATATTTCCCCCCCCCTTCCACGGAACTTGATTTTTTTAAATAGCAAAGTACCCCTTGTGACATATCAAATGAAAGAGCATGAAAAAAGAAAATTTTTGGTGAAAAAAAATTTAAAATCGGCTTATGAATTTGTGAGATAATTCCCCCCCATTTTCCCCTACCCATAACTTGTTTTTTAATAGCAAGGTACCCGCCCCTGTGACATATCAAATGAAAAATAAATTTCACCAAAAATTTTCTTTTTTCATGCTCTTTCATTTGATATGTCACAAGGGGTACTTTGCTATAAAAAAAAATCAAGTTCCGGGGAAGGGGGGGGGAATATCTCGCAAATTTATGAACCGATTTTTATTTTTTTTTTCATCAAACATTTTCTTTTTTTATGCTCTTTCATTTGATATGTCACAAGGGGTACCTTGCTATTTAAAAAAAATAAGTTGGTGGCAGGGGGGGAAAGGGGGGAATGTGAATGTAACGTTGAATTCAAAACAATTGGGCCCCCTACGTCAATAGATGATTCCCGCAAACTGCATATTTCTATCTATTGCGGTTTTTACATAAATAAAGATGCAAGTTTAAAAAAAAACACCCCGTATAAAAATGAGATGGTGTGTGTTTGTGTGTGTGTGTGTGTGTGTGTGTGTCTGTCTGTTACTTTATAACTTAAGAACTACTGAACCGATTGAAATAAAATTTTGAATGAAGGTAGCTTATATACATGTTTAACATATAGGCCTATTCCTGTTATTATATTCCCCTTGGGCTACGCCCCATGGGCTTCCAAAGTTTCAATGTTTACATTTTGAAAGAATGTTAAATAGAAAAAAATAAAATATTAGTAAAATGTTAAATAGTGCTAATAGTAAATTGTTAGTATTAATTGAAGTCAGCTGTAAATACTATATTTTGGCAGTTCAAACAGCAGAGGTTAAGAGGTACAGCTCTTGCTCCCAAGATTCATAAGTTTTATGATTATGAGAATAGTTTGATTAATATATTTATGAAAATATACTTATTTTTATGGAAACAGAAGGATCATTACAATGTATGATATTTTCGAATGATTTTGATTTGGTTGCTTTATGTTTACAAATTTGAACTGATAAACAAATGTTTAGATCGGGATTTTAATAGATTTTAAAAACTAAGAAATATGAACTGGTGCAGTTTAAAAAATTTATTTGACTCAATGTTTACAATTTTATTTGTGTTTTAATTCAATTTACAAACTAAATTTCAACTATACCTACTTTTATTCTGTCCAGAGGTAACTACTAATTATATTTTCTTCTATCATCTACTTCATATTCGCTTTTTATAAAATTTACATAAATCTCCTTAGTAGTTGTATATTTACAACACTGCTTTAATTTGACTATGGAGAATATCACAAAACTAAACTGTGGGCAATTCACTTTTGTATGTAACGAAATAAATGTTTATTAAAAAAATAAGTAAGCTTATCATTTGAAAATTGAATCGTATGGGTACATTTCGTACTAGGTAGCCTTATAAGTTAGCCTAGCCTTAAAGAAAGATATTTTTGAAACAGAGAGTTTCAATTGAGTAATGTTCCTGAAAACAAAGGGGGAATGTGTAACTATTTTATACAACAGAATTCAAGATCAATTTTTTTCGCTTCAGTGTCCTCTCCTTTGCGAAGAATGGGTACCTGTAGGCTAGGTCACAGTGTGGTCTTAAAACAATTTCATAGTTATTTTCATTTTTTGTCGGTCTATAAATCACAATTTGGTAATCCTCGGTTATTACAGTTCTGTTGCTATACTCATTAAGCGAAACTTGCAAAACTTCATTTGATGGAGTTTTATTCGGAGTACAAAATAATCTTTGTAGCATATTCCCAGCAGTAGTGAGGTATCTCAAAATATAAGACATGACTAAGTTACTATGCCACACTGCCACACAGTTGTTACGCAAGTTGTATTTTAACTTTTGTAATTTTGTAATATTGTAACTTGACTAAGGTCGTCTGCAAGATGGCGCTGGATAATGATTCCGAATGTAAGGAGTGTGGAAAAGTAAATTAGGAGGTTGATGATGCAGTGTGTTGTGACGGTTTCTGTGGTGGATGGTTCCATATAAACTGTGTGAAAATCAGCAAAGAAAACTATAACGCTATAAATAAATTTCATGAAGCTAGCAAGTGGTTGTGTAAGGACTGTACCGGCCACATTGAAAAAGCCCGGGACTACGAGTTCTCTGTTCAGGACTATCTCAACATGCATGATATGGTAGGAAAATTATTTTCCATCGTTAAAGGACTCTCTATAGTTCAATCACGCATAAACCACTGGACGGATTGGGCTGAAATTTGGCATGATGATAGCTTACATTCCCGATTAACATATAGGCATATTCTTATCTCAAAAATCCTTTCGGGCACCGCCCCAGTGGCTCTGTAATGCCCCATGTTAACCTTATGAGTATTCATATTTAAAAGGAATTAAAGAATTTAGTCAGCTGTTTCAACTAAAAAAGTTGGTTCTATGATATGGAAAAGCATTAAAAAGTTATTAGATTTACCAACAGGGTGCAGTACTATATTTTTTTGCATTTATGAAAACAGCTTATTTGAACTAAGCAGCAACAAAAAACTGTGATTCGCAATGAGAACTGTCAAAGTAGGATTGTTTACAGTTACGTTTATGTTTTTCATTTCATGAATAATTTGTGATATTTTGCGAATTGTTGACAATTTATTTTTCTCTATTGTTTAGAGAACATTATGGCTATGGTAGATGTGTAATACTATAGAATACTGTAAATTTAAAAAAGCAAATTTTATCAAACTGTGTCCTCCCTTATTGCAAACGCAAAGCTTGAGTATAACTGCAATAAGCATTTTATACTTATATTCCAACCCCGTACGAAGGATGGGTACTCTGCTAGTGTAGCCATAAATTTAAAACTCCTACCTTCAAATCATCGATTTAACTGTCCTAAAACTTAAAGTTGTGCTACCAGTTCTAACCAAACTAATTTCCAGCATGATTTGTGATCAACCCAGCTGACAAACACTGTTTTGAATATAAAAACTATAACATTTATTTTTTACTATAGGTAAGATTCACTTACTTTTGCCTGAAGGTGTCAGATGTTAACATATGCTGTACATGTTTCGAGCTACTTACAGCTCATCTTCAGCAGCATTCTTGAATTAAAAAAATCACATCAAACGATGTTTGTCGACTATTTACAGTTTATATATACACACACGAACACACGGAAATATATACAAAGAACATACACGCGTTTTGCAGTTGTAGGTACCGTAAACATGTTTGCGTACGCACGGTTAAATGAAGATAACCTCGACCGGGCGACATTTGTAGGCCTACTGAGGAACTTGAACTTGAACACAGGAGAGTGACGTCACGGTATCAGCTGACTGGCGGTTCTTATTTCCAGTTTTGTTATCTACATCACAGAACAGCTGATAGGCGATTTTGTCTGAATATTCCTCTCTTTTATTTAACATAGTTTCATTGCCGTGTCCTCTCATATGTTGGAAAATAAATAATTCCTCCCATACTTTTGCTTTGTTTTTTTGGCCACAACTTTTTAAAACACTTAATGATTTTTCAAAATCAATTTTGTGATCCTTATTACTCTGAAGATGTTGAGCAACAATCGACGTTGGATTAACTTGCTTGGTGGCATTGTGTTCCTTGAACCTTTGATAAAATGACCTATTGGTGTATCCAACATATTTTTTGTCACATTTGTCGCCATTGTTGCATTGAATCAGATATACCCCTTTATCCTGTTTTTTATCTATTGATTGTTTCTGCCCTTGTATAGGTTTTCTGTTGAGTTTGTAACCAGGCTGGAAACCATTATTTTTAAAAATATTGCCGATTGTTTCAGAAAATTTGTTTACATAACAGAGAGGGATATATTTTTTATTTACGGAATGATCTTGTGGTTTAAGCAGGTTGTGCTTTGCTTTCCTAATTAAATTGTCAATTAATTGAATATCGTAGCCATTGTTGAAAGCAATTTGCTTGATTATATTCTTTTCTTTTTCGAATTCACGGGAACAAAGGTTATATGTGAGAAGTCGGTAGACCATAGATCGGAATGCTGATAACTTATACTGATATGGATGATTGGAGTTTTTAGGTATCACTAGGTCAGTTTGTGTTGGTTTTCTGTAGATGCCAAATTCATAGTTACTATTGTTTACTTTGGTTATTTTGACGTCTAGGAAGTTTAAATAGTTGTTGTCTTCCAATTCCATTTTAAATTTGATGGAGTTATGAATGTTGTTCAGATACTTTAAGAAAACATTTGCCTGTCGTTTAGTTCCTTTAAACACAATAAACGAATCATCAACATACCTCCTGTAGAATTGAATTTTACGGTGGCGGGGGTTAGTTGGCGTTAAAATGTTAGTTTTCTCAAACTGTTGTAAATAGATTTCAGCTAGGAGAGCCGACAAGGGGCCACCCATAGGCAGTCCTTTGGGGTTGCAGTATGTCCACAGAAAACCAACACAAACTGACCTAGTGATACCTAAAAACTCCAATCATCCATATCAGTATAAGTTATCATCATTCCGATCTATGGTCTACCGACTTCTCACATATAACCTTTGTTCCCGTGAATTTGAAAAAGAAAAGAATATAATCAAGCAAATTGCTTTCAACAATGGCTACGATATTCAATTAATTGACAATTTAATTAGGAAAGCAAAGCACAACCTGCATAAACCACAAGATCATTCCGTAAATAAAAAATATATCCCTCTCTGTTATGTAAACAAATTTTCTGAAACAATCGGCAATATTTTTAAAAATAATGGTTTCCAGCCTGGTTACAAACTCAACAGAAAACCTATACAAGGGCAGAAACAATCAATAGATAAAAAACAGGATAAAGGGGTATATCTGATTCAATGCAACAATGGCGACAAATGTGACAAAAAATATGTTGGATACACCAATAGGTCATTTTATCAAAGGTTCAAGGAACACAATGCCACCAAGCAAGTTAATCCAACGTCGATTGTTGCTCAACATCTTCAGAGTAATAAGGATCACAAAATTGATTTTGAAAAATCATTAAGTGTTTTAAAAAGTTGTGGCCAAAAAAACAAAGCAAAAGTATGGGAGGAATTATTTATTTTCCAACATATGAGAGGACACGGCAATGAAACTATGTTAAATAAAAGAGAGGAATATTCAGACAAAATCACCTATCAGCTGTTCTGTGATGTAGATAACAAAACTGGAAATAAGAACCGCCAGTCAGCTGATACCGTGACGTCACTCTCCCGTGTTCAAGTTCAAGTTCCTCAGTAGGCCTACAAATGTCGCCCGGTCGAGGTTATCTTCATTTAACCGTGCGTACGCAAACATGTTTACGGTACCTACAACTGCAAAACGCGTGTATGTTCTTTGTATATATTTCCGTGTGTTCGTGTGTGTATATATAAACTGTAAATAGTCGACAAACATCGTTTGATGTGATTTTTTTAATTCAAGAATACTGCTGAAGATGAGCTGTAAGTAGCTCGAAACATGTACAGCATATGTTAACATCTGACACCTTCAGGCAAAAGTAAGTGAATCTTACCTATAGTAAAAAATATTAAAGGTGTCAAGGCTGATATAAAATTAATAACATTTATGGAATATATTTTTTAATGTATATTGAAGTTTATTGATAGCGTTTAAGAACCTTGTTGTTTTTCCGAAGTTCAATATATGAATGTGACCTAGCTAGTCCATTTACACCTCTGATTGTATGAACTACTCCACATGTGGCTGTTAAGGGCAACGTCATTTAAGCTAACCTACGATGACAGCATTGTTTAACTATTATCATCAACAATTAAGGTATTAATCTTTCGTATGGTTTCCTATCTTAACAACTCGTCTTCTTGTTGATTTAAATTGCGTTTCGAGTAAAGAGAAAATAGTAGGGTATACATATCTGAATAAAAAAAATATATATATAGGGTATTCAAAACAGCATCAAACTTTCACAGAAAATGCCGCAAATTTGAAATCAATGTAATGATTTAAATCCTGATTTCACCAACATGTTTGTATTAACAAGAGCTTTAACATTATTTACAATGTGACTTATATTTGGATTTGTCAAAATTGTGATATTTGAACCTCTGGTTTTGGTTCATCCTGCATTTAAATGGCAATGAAAATATTTTAAAGTAATTCCTTGGGATTGGTTTATTGGGAAAATCTTTCATTTCACCTCTGTAGGACTAACAGTTTGACTGAAATTAATAGTGGGTGTTTAACAGTGATTTACCCTGTATATTCTCTTGTTTATAAACACGTTACACATTACCTAATACAGGGTGTTGAAAATGTCTGGAACCAACATTATATCCAGCTAGGTGAGTGGTTAAAGAAAAACAACTGATATTTTGTGTACGGATATACTATGGTTTTACCTATCTTTTGGTGCCTTATGAAATTTTTTACCACTTATAGGGAACGTCCTGTGGAGGATGCAGTAAAAAGTTTTAATGGAAGCCTATGGTAAATGATACATAATTTTAAAAGCCATTTTTTTCTGAGTAAGGAGCCACAAGTTTCATCTCAAAAGGACCACCCTAGCAAAAATGGCGACTGTTCGGATAGCAATGTTTTTAAATTTCAAACAGTCGCCATTTTTGCTAGGGTGGTCCTTTTGAGATGAAACTTGTGGCTCCTTACTCGGAAAAAAGTGGCCTTTAAAATGATGTATCATTTGACATAGGCTTCCATTAAAACTTTATACTGCATCCTCCACAGGACGTTCCCTATAAGTGATAAAAAATTTCATAAGGCACCAAAAGATAGGTAAAATTATAGTATATCCGTACACAAAATATCAGTTGTTTTTCTTTAACCACTCACCAGATATAATGTCGGTTCCAGACATTTTCAACACCCTGTATAAGAACTTGTAGCTAATAAGCACGTAAAAACTCTTGTTTGGCTCTTTGTACACAGCAGATCTACCCCAAGTGCCGCACGGTCTGCCGGGAGGACGCTACCACATGGCAGCCAAGCGAGACGGTGACAGCAGTACGGGTCTGTGGTTTGGTCCTCGCCTGGGCCGCAGCAGCAAGAGAAACGACCCCGGACACGAGTCTCCGTGGGCAGTCATCGCTGTCAGAGGTACGAACCTCTACAGAGATAAAATATTCTTCAGTTTTTACTATTCTCTTTTATCTCTAAAAATATTTTTTACCCTCACTCATTTGATTTACAATAATTATTGTATTTATTATTTAAAAACTGCATCTTTATCTGGTGAACGCAAATTTTTAAGTAGTTAGAAAGAATGAAAAAATTGTTTGCATATAGATATAAAAAAAAGTTAAATGGTAAGTGCCTTGGATTTTTTATTTTAAAAATTGTAGTTAAGTCTAAAAAAATATTTTAGCCACCATTTTTCCAATATGGCCGCCAACTTTGATTTTTCTTATGGAACACTTTGTATTTTACGATGTATTCCGGTAGAAAATGTAATTTTAAGACAATTTTACTCTTGTATTTTTCTTCATAAACATAACCGTTTCAAAGATAATAATGGTTAAAGTTGTGACATTTTGAATAGTTTTCGAAAAGAAAAACAGCTGGCACACTTATATCATTTACCCTGTATGCGTAACTCAACAGTGTCGTTTGGTAAGCATGATTTGTTCAAAATCTGTGGTCGAATGTAAGCAATTTGCTACTCTGATGATGTGTTTAGTCCACTCTACAGTCAGACATTATTAAGGACAATTCCATTCAGACTAACCAACAGGGACAACAGTGTCTATCCATCGTTTGTTATTAGTGTTCTGGTTACTATTGGGAAAATATGTTACGTGATTTTGTGAAGGCTGGACCACTGTTGGATTACTTAAATCAAAGGAAACATTAACAATTAATTGATATATTTTCAAGTTAAGTTGTTTCACTTGAGGACGGGATAAATTGTCAGATCCCGAAACGTTGTGTATGGTATTTTACCATTGTGATGGAAAATGTCCGCAATAAACCTTTAAATAACAATTTTAGAATTTGTTACACAGTTTTTAAAACTTTTGCGATACAAGTAAAGTGAAATTAGTCTTTGAAAAACATTTGCTTATTCAAACTGTACTTAAACAGACTGAACGGAACATTAGAAACGTAATTGGGTTTCATAAATAACGTCTTAGTTTTCCCCGCTTCAAAATCCTACTTACGTCATTGTAATTTTTGTATTCAGATAAAACTTCTTTAATAAAATTCAACATGTAACGTGGGATTTTATATATCCGCAATTTTTGGGTTGGATGCGACCTTTAATTTCAAATACTAAGTGTTATAATTTTATATTAATTTATTATCGTCATTAACAGTTTAATTTTACTATGATCTCACATGGAATTTACCTTTAGACTTCTCTCTTACTTTGGTAAGTTTTTAACGTATTACAGCCATCAAGCTCCTAGTTAGAATTCCACAACTCTAAATAAATGATACTTTTGTATAGTTGTGGCTATTACAGGAAAAATGGCTACATATGTATTATGTCGTGCTGTACAATTCTTTGAAACGTGGCCTAACTTCTACATATTCAAAGCAGAACTGCACTTGCATAAAATCGGTGCTCTTGTAAGATTTTTTCCAAACATTTACACAACACTGTGTGTGGTTTCCGCATTCCTAGGACCTGTTGAAAATCAATTGAAGTTATCTTGTAATTGTTATTTAACCGTAGACTTGTTAACGTTTTGGGAGAGGATCGCTGATGTGTTCCTCCTTTAAGAACGATTTTAAAAATACTGTACAAGCATGTTTTAAATCGTTATTTCATTGTTTAACCTACTGTTGAAATAGGACATTCATTTTCTGGATTCTAGTGACAATTACTAGCTTCACTACAACCTACACTTTGCCTTCCTTATCCAACCTAACTTCAAAACTCTTAAGGCAGGCGCGAACCTGCATAAAGTCCGTCCTGTCTTCCCCACATCCCTGAATAAGGCCAGGGCCACAATCCGCTATCTGCCCCCAACATTTAAATTTTTACTCGTGAATTTTAACTGTACGAAACTTTACATTTTAGTGATAGAACGATGATTGAACTAAAATATAAGCTTTTTTAGGTATTGCTGTTGATATTGTTGTCTCCCTTGACTTCTATTACGCCTACCTATATTTTATACTAGCTGTTGTACCCGTGCTTTGCAACGGGAAGAGGACACAAAATAGAAACATTTCAATTTTTACATCTGTTGCATATAATAGTTACACATTCGCCAACGCTTTCAGAAACAAAATTCAACTTTTATAGCCTTAATAGAAACGTTTAAGTTATGACTTTTAAATCTGGTAAGTAGTGGATACCACCATTTTGGTTTTGATTAATTTTAAATCTTGTGTAGAAAAAACTGAAAATAAATAAAAAAATATGAGAAAAAACTGACCAAATCTTCGAATAAATGACATACATGATTTACCTTCATCTCCCTCAATTACATATCTTTTAATTTATTATTGACATCTTAAATTCCAATTTGAAGTTGCGAAAATACTATTTATTAAATTTAAATGAACATTTTTTTAATTTCACTCTTCTTTATAGTTATTAAATCACAAATCCTTCCATCTTCAGTTTCTTCACTCACAATAAATCATTAGCAAAATTAAGTCAGCTGTTATAAACATTAGAAATATTGCTGTGCCTTATCAATACAGTCTTATGAAATATTAAAGAAACTATATCTATAGGTACTATAAAAAATGTCAAACAAATAATTTAGCATTAAAGACAGCAGATAAAACTAATATGATTATAAAAGCATCAAGGACTAAAAAATGTAGTAGCAAGTACAGTATATGTTTCATTGCATCTCTGATTCACTCTACAAAAATATCAACAAACAACTTAATATACAAACCAGTTCTTTTAATCAGTTCCATGTCCATTGTCTTTACATTTTCACACTTACCATTAAGCAAACATAGTAACAGATATTGCATTGATTTTAGAAACAAAAGAACACTGTGTACTGCTTAGTTTTTTTATTTTCCTTGGTTTAATTTTATCAGTGACGTGGCAAATCACAAATAATAAATTTATCAATTAAATTAATGTGAACTGAAAGCTATGTTAAGATAAAATAAGAGTATTTTGTATTACCATTTGATAATTTAATATAGTTACACATATACAACAGATTTTAGAAAACAAAAATCAACGACGTACAATTAGTTATTCATGATATTCTTTAGTTTAATTTAAGCATAGGTTTAGCAAAACACAATAACTTAATTTACCTAAATATGCATATAAAAAACAATGTGATGTGCAAGTTATGGTAAGTTAATCTAACACATGTTAAGCAGTTAGAATTTATTTAAAGTAGCCTCCAAATTCATACAAAACATCTATATACTGTATTGTTTTTTTCATACTATTTCCATGAAAACATATCAATAACATTATTTTCATAACTTAGACGCTTTAAAAAATCCAAAGCAGAGCTGGAGTTGATACAGCAACGGTTATAGAATCTTTTTTTCTATAATCATTGACATAGTTTTAGAATAAATAATCCATGATAAAAGGTTAGATTAAAATAAACCTACCTCATAGTTATGGAAAATATTACATTTCATTTCTTTGTATCAGCTGTCTGAAATTGTGAAATATGCAGTTAAGCAGTTCTTCTTGTTTACATTTAAATGTCAAAGCAAATGTAAACAAACATTGTAAGTGTTCTCATCGCAGCCATGGAGACCTATCAATATTTACTTTTAAAATGTTCACCTCAGAGCTTTTAAAGCCAAAGGGGCAAAGCCTACGGTCAGTATCGAAATGTGAATGATCCTATAATGGTCCTTGGTATGGTAGGTATATTTTTGTAAAATTTAAGCCCAGTTGGTTTAGGAGTTTTTGCACCTATTAGTAATACACATACAGATACCATTAGATTTTTATATAATAGTATAGATATATTAGTAAATTAGCCCTTATATACATTTCACTAGCCCTTAACAGATAGCGGTAATGTATGCCGTTACTTGCATTATTTAAACGGGTTGTAAAAGTCACTGGCAGTGGCAAAAAACTAAGTGTGGTAGGCCGGAGAATTCAGGTTCTTGAAAATGTATTCAGCCAAATATCCCCGAAATTGCTTGGATTATCCGGAGTATTTTGGAACTGTTCCCAGGATGTTACGCCAACGACGCTCAATGTTGGTTGAATGCAACAGGTATTCGGGTCAAAAAAGTTTTGCTATGGTTGACTGTTAAGTACTTAAACCGGCTTTTAAGCTAATGATATGTGCGCCAGCAATGTGTGATTACAATTGAACCGGGTTGGACCAACACTAGTCTTACTAAAATTGTCCTGGTACGGTCAGGTACTGGGATACAGTATCAAACCTTGATACCTCTCGTAACTCCACCGAGCATCCCACTGTCCTTTCACGATCCTGCCACGGTTATACTTACGATTGCCGAACTTGGCCTGGCCGATCTCGACTACATAATCGGGGTCACCGATAATTGAACCTGGTTGGACCAACACTAGTCTTACTAAAATTGCCCTGGTACAGTCAGGTACAGGGATACAGTATCCAACTTTGATACCTCTCGTAACTCCACCGAGCATCCCACTGTGCTTTCACGATCCTGCCACGGTTATACTTAACGATTGCCGAACTTGGCCTGGCCGATCTCGACTACTCAATCTGGGCCACCGATCTTTGCTCTTTTTTTATTGTGATGGAACTGTCAAGAAATGAAGTTTTATAACGTATTAACAACTTTTATTTTAGGAATAAATGTTACAAACTGAATTATTTGTAAATACAAAACAACAATAATCTCCAGACGATCTCAATAATTACCAAATCAATTATAAAGAATAACAAACATATAACATCGACAAAGAGATTTTTGGCACAATGAAATTTTTAGTAAATATGTATTTTTGGGTTTGACGACTTTGTCAACATAGAAAATGTAGCAGAATATGAAGTCACGCCTGACGGAAGGCGCAATACCAAGCTTGACCAGATATATCTCAATTGCAACAATATCGCTAAGTTGGTGCCTGGAGGAGACATGCCCGAAGAAAATGTGATCTTGAATTAAACTTTGATCGTTCGTATATGACATTTTTCTGTCAG